CCCCCAGCCAGGGTCAACCCACCACATTCATGCTATGTAAAACTGATGCTCTGGCTCACCCCTGTCTTCAAAGAATGTGGTTCCCTGCCTTACTGCTAATCTTACAAAGAGCTTTCCTTCCCTGCCTCCCTTGTTTTACTTATTTTCTTTTTCTCTCCTTTTTATGATATCCTTTGGTCTGAGTTGTGCTCTCCAACGTTATAATTTACTTCTGAGCTTTTTGGACTCCATTACTAACTTACAACCTTTGTCTATGTCTTGTATAGAGCTACCAATAAAAGCAGCTAGTGAGTATGTTTTCTTTCTGCTCTTTAGATGGTGATCTTTTCTAGAGAAAACCTCAGCTGTTTGATCCCATTGCCTTCAGTGTCCTTTAGATGCCCATTTTCATACTGAAGAACAGCTTGAACCTAGTAAGGCTAAAATTGCACCACAGAAATCTCTAATGCTCGTCTGGGCTTTTCTTTCCAGCAGTTTAGTTACGTTCATGTGTCCTATTTCAAATTACAGTGGGCTAGTGCAGCAGAGGGGAGATCCCCACAAGGCTACAAGAAATCAATGCAGCTCATAGTGTGGTTTTCTCATCCTTTTTGTTTTGCATTCCCTAAAAAAACCCCAAAAAACCCCCAAAAAATACAGGGGTGTAACATGCTCATATAGTTAACTCAATTGACAGGAGCCTCTGTTTTCTTAGTTATCAGTTGTAGATTCCTCCACAGCTTAAACTACTGGATTCAAGTATCAAACTAGGGAAGATACAAAAATCCCTTTATCTCAGTGTCCAAGTGACTCTTGAGTAAATGAAGAGCTATATTACAAAAATTGTTTTTGCAAACCTTTGTTTCATCTGCTGTGAAATAACACAACACTAAATGACCTAAGTGTTTATTTGAGAGTGTTTCTCAGCAGGCTAATAATGCCACAAATACATACATTACAGTGAAAACAGTAGTAGCTAATGCAAAATTCCAAGAACTGAAAGACACATCACAGAGGGCTGCTCAGTAAAGGCTTAATATAAAATGTTAATATGTTAATATTTTCATTGTAAAGCTAGTTACAAGGAATTGCATAAGCAACATGAAGATGGTGCTTTAAATTTGCATATATTGCTGTTCTGCATGTATTTCTAGACATGTGTAATAGGACACAACACCATCATACACAATTTTACATTTGAAAGATTTGCAGTAATATTGTCCATTTTTAAACTAATTTTTAGGCAGACTATTTGTGTGTTTTCATTGCTGACTTTACAGCATGTTTCTTTAGTTTGAGAAAACCCATTCAAAATCTCCTTTAATACCATAAATTTTACAGGCTATGTTCAAAATATGAAACATTTTTAAAAGTGCAATTAAAATCAGGCCTTTAATTTATTAAAATTTCATAAAGGTTAAAAAAAGGAAGGCTAGAGTCTCAACAGAGTACAAATTATAGCTTTATATTAATAGTATTTATTTCAGTTGAGCTACAGTGATTTATCAAATTGAGGATCTTGCCTTCCCAGTATAACATTAAGATAAATCTTGCTGTTAGGAAATGAATTATTTATTCAAAGACAGCAGCTCCCTTAAGAGGATATTAATAATACTGAAGTTTACCTACTCATTTTTAATAACATAAGTTCATAGAACAGAGTGAAAAGCCATTCCATAAAAGCAGACAATAATAAAATCTAAAGCTTCTAAACTGAGGTATATTGATATAATTTAATTCTGTCTGTATTAGAAGGAGAAGTATGAAATGCAATCAAAGTAAACTTACATTACTGCTGCTTTGCTTTACTAGAGTTCAATACCACGTTGTCTCCAAGCAGGTAAGAGCAGCCATATGAATTGTATTTGTAACTGTTTGCTTTAATTAAAAAAAAAAAACAAAAAACCACAAAACAAAACACAAAACCCAAACAAAAAAAAATTGGAAGAATTACATCCTGATATGGAAGCCTTTTTAGTGAGTTTCAAAACATCCCAAATTTTAAATATTTTTCAGTGGTTTACTTCAGTACCTATGATTATGAAAGCTATTACTCCTACTCTTAAAAACGATGAAAATTCTTAAACCAAACAAGATTAAACTTTCTATTGTGGCGAATCAGTCTTTTTCTTAAATTAGCATTGCCATACTCTGTTCAGGGTGGCAAATACTAAAAGGGAAATTTTGTGTGAGGATAAAAAAAAAAAACAACCCCTTGGCTGTGGTTAGTTTATTTTGAACAATAAAATTTGGAAGAAATATTCTTCGTAACAGTTCCTTTATGGGCATAACCTTCCATTAATTCTGAATTTGGAGTGATGCTTTCATAAGTGATTTTTATAAGTGATTTTGGATTCCATATTCTCTCTACTGTATATGTACCTCACTCCCACTCAAAACATTTTCAAGCAGGAATTAAAATAGGCTGGAGGATTTGGGGGTTTATTACCTTTAAAATTTTACCTTTATATCTTATGTAGGTGGTTTGGAACAAGGGTAAGATACAAACAATCAAACTTGAGAACCTAAAGAGGCTAGAGTATACTGCCTAACGTACCTTTCATTTTAAAGGGATGCTTTACCATGTGAGTATTGTTATATTCCTTGAAGTTTTGCTCACAGAAACTATTGAACTTTCAACACTGGTTGAGAGTTGAGTACAAATGGGATGCATTCGCTGCAGCAACAGCTGCTTACTAAAGGATATTTTTGCAGGATCAAAGCTCCATTTGTCCCCTAAACATGCATGTCCATTTATTAGTTTTACTTTGCAGTAAAGAATTCTAGTAGGAGAATATGCAAAATAATTGTTGGAATTCAAAATTTAACACCTCCCATGAAAAAAGAAGTGAAGAATATAGACAATATGTGTGAAGGCAAAAGAGCTCTTACAAAAATAAGTTTTGACTGATTCACCAGTAAGATAACACTAACGGATCTTCAACCTTGTCCCTATGTATAAGAGAGTACTTTGGAATTTCACGTCTTTGAAGAACTATTATTTTGTACAATAAATAATTATGGAAATGTACAAAGTAAGGAATAATTATGTACAGCATTGATAAAACAAATACCACATTGGCTTAACTAAATATAACAGCAGATACTACCTTTCTTTAGCATTATGTCTTAAAACTAATAATGGCTTGTTCTGCTTAGATCTTTACTTACACAATTGCACAGTTCCCTTTCTTTGGATTATTTCTTTAGGCCACAGACCACTCCCATTCTTCATCTGATGAAAAGACGTCATTCCAGACTGTGAAAGATGCTGCTTCATCTGGATCATCTGGATCCTCACTGTTGTGAAGGTATTTCAGACTGCCAGAAATACAGCCTCATCTGAATCCTTGCCACTGTCTTCACTAGGCAAGCAGCCACCCCCACTTGGGGACCTACAGCTTAAGTCCTCCACACCAGACTCCTGATCACTGTTAGTTGACAGGTCAGGATCAGAGCTTTTCAGGTTGTCCTGTGTCAAAATCAGGGCTGAGTCTTCTTCATCCCCTTGTGAAGGGCTCCGGGATGGGAATGATTTCAGATCGTTGCTATACTCCTGGGGAGTGTTAGCTAAGCTGTTGTTGGAAGTAGAAAGCCCTAACTGTTTGCTTCCATCTTGTTGCTTACTCTTGACTTTATTGTCAGTTAATTGTGATTTCTGAAGGTTTGCCAATCTCTGAAATAAAGGAAACAGTATATATTACACGGTCACATTTAGGGCCCAGTAATCCTCTTATATGTCTTTGCCTTTTAAAAAAAAAACCCTAAGTTCAGAGCCCAACCAAATTGGCACCCTTTAAAACTGCCTATTTGCATTTATGAAGTATGAGAGGTGCACAATTTATCACAAATCAATGCTGAATTACAGCATGCTTCCTAGTTACAGTTCCTTCCGAGTTACAGAAGGATATAAAATTTCTTTCAGGAGTAGTACTTGTGTACCAACACAGGTGAAATTTTATCCCTAAAGAAATAAAGTTCACTGTTGTCTCTTAAATGTCTCTTAAAACATTCATAGTAATTTATGTGAAAACAAAGACGATGGCTGAACATCCTCATGCTGAAAAAGAATGTAGCTTGTACAGGACTGTGCAGTGTATGGAGCTGGGTTTCATTTGCCATTAGTTAAGTCTTGAGGCATCAAGATCAAGTATTTATTACCTCTCCTAAGACCTCCAGCTCTTCTTCCAGCTGCTGAGTTTCTTCTTTCACTGCCATCAGATAATCAGTAACTGACTGTCGAGGATGCAGCCCCTTCTCGAAGCGGTTGTACATACCACTCCAGAACCTGGAATTGGTGGGAAGGTCAGGAATTTTCTCATTTGGTGAGGTGGCCTCAGAAGCCTCAAATACACAAACACACACTGTTCTTTTTTTTATTTTCCCCAGACACATTTTGTCCTAAATGATCCATCCATGGATTAGTCATCATTAGCGTGCATACACATAAGTTCATTGAATATTTGGTAAGATTTATGGTTCATTTGCATTGGCTCTGTCCTGAAGATGCAGCTCTGTGGACACACATAGCCTGAACCCCTTCTGATACACAGTAGAAAGGTGAATGTACCTTTGACTTAGATCACGCGGCTGAGGATAGTTCACTGAAAGCAAACTTTTGCTGTATTATTTTCTTGTTCTACACTATGGGCTTTAGAGTAATGGTACCTATAAAACAGCCAAGGTTAAAGACAGTTTTTCATAATCCTAGTTCTCAACCATTGTGTAACTTCCCATGAAGTCAGCTGAAGTTACAACCATTGTGTAACTTCCCATGAAGTTTTGTCTGGGGCTGTGGGGGGAGTTTGACGTGCAGCGTTAACAGGGGGTTTTCCTCTGTAAAGAAGAGTTAAAAATCAAGAGTAAAAACCACTATCGTATCCTGTTCTCTTAAAATTTAAACTGACATTTTAAACTGGCCTATGGAAATTGCATGAAAGATATACGTTAGCAAGTTCTTTTCCTGTTCTATGGAATTATTTGACAAATCTTTAGTTAAACAGCTGAGTTGATTTTTCATTTTCAGGAGGAAAGGACTCGAACTCTAAGTCCATAACTTACTCTAGTGCTCCTCCTGTCTTCTCTCCTCCTGGCAATACATGGCCACAGCCAGACTCTGAGTATGTAACTAGCTCACCAGACAGGTTAGCTAACTGAGACCTGCCCTCAGCTGCAGCTGTCCAACCAAGTAGCTGACAGATATTTTCAGAGCACAGGCGTGCTCCGTGGTGGTTTATTATTCCTACTCTAATAGTATACTATTTAAGTCATGTTCCCCCTTAAGTTTATCATCTGACAGCTTATGCTTGGAAATTGTTATGCACCCAAGTAATTCCATTAAAATCAACAGGATTACTCATCCCATGGAGGATCTGCAGTATCAGTACTTCTTTCATAAATCCCACTATCCTAAAGAATACGATTAATGACTATTTTTAAATTGTTTTAAAGTGGATGTCACCTGGAATAGTAGATGTAAAATAGTTCAATTTCTGTCATTTAGGATATTTATTGACTTTTTAACAGGTGCTTTTACTTCCAACTGGAAAACAAGCTGATCAGTTTTACTTAAATCACAATTTTAATGAATTTCTATTCAAGTTATCCTTGAGTTTGTTAAGATTAATGTCACAACTAATTTCTCAAGTCAGAATGTCAATAGTAACATTTCTAAAATTATGATATTTTGCTAAAATTTGAAAAAAACTTCAATATCTTAAACCTAAGTAAAACTTAAGTAAAACTTACTCTGTATACTTCAAGGTATAACAACAACATGGGGAAAGTCTGCTTTTTGTTTTACTAAACACTTGTTTTAGCAATGAAACCATATGATTTCTTGAAATGTCCCTTTTTATTTTTGAAACCAATTGATCCAAATAAACATCACAAAATCTTGGACTGGAAGAAGTTGAAGCAACTTTAAATTTAGAAACCACAGACAAGAACAGAACTGAAAGACATTTCTCAGTGGAAGAAGTGAGTAACCATAAATTAGGACACACAACTATCAATATAGCTTTAATCTTAAGCTTCTTTTCAGACTAATACTCCATTGTGGAATGGTGCAGAGGTGTTGGCTGACAATAAGCACACAAGGAATGAACACGTTGCATCTGCCACTGAATTTACTCTCTATAAGCTACCTTATGGAATGAGAAATACTTAAATACAAAGGCACTCTGTTCTGTACTAACACATCCTACAACTCTCTGTAGCAAGTGATAATACCTACTTGTACAAGAAGTTGCATGGAGCCATCTGTGGGCGCAGGGTCCCTTGGGTTTGACTGTGGTCTGATCTGTACAAAGGATTCAGGTAATCGGCACGATTTTTCCACATATGAGCCCACAATGAATATGTTCGTTCTTGGATTCTGAAAAAAATATATTAAATAAAAACATATTGAAGTCTCTACTACAATTCAGGTATAGCTAAAGCTTAGATGTGGCATTCTAGTGCTCTGTACCACTCATTTACAATATCAGCTTTATACTTCCTTAACAGAATTAGACTTAAGTTATAAATATAAAAAAACCCCAGAGACCCATATTCCTTTGTTGGTCACCACAGGCAAAATCCAATCAATTTCCCATAAAGTCAGAGCGGCTGGGGAGAGAACATGGAGAGACGGGTTCCTTTGCAAGATGGAGAGGATCACTTCCATAAAATTAGCTTTCAGACTGACCCCTACACCAAAGGGATCCTCACATTTAAAAGCACTCTTAGACCACTGAGCTGCAATTTCTCATGCAGTTAGGTCTTGGGATATGATGACCCATGAAGGTTTTGATAGTAAATGGACTGTGGCACTGAGGCTGCTCTGCATTTGCACAGTGAAAGGCACCAAATGGCAGCAGCAAGTAGTAACTCCCACCTTCCTCTCATTGCTCCTGCTGACACCATGAGGATGCATGAGAAAAGTGGTGATGTAGCTAGGGCCCCAGGGCCCCAGGAAGCAGATATGAACTCAGCACTACCAGGGATGATGATACTGTCTCTGTTTGGGCCTGAAGGCAGGTAGATGAATTCATAATTGCTTTGGGGCCAGACAGCAGAAGGATAGTTTGCTGACTCAGTCCTAGGGAAGGCTACCAGACAAAAAGGCTGTTCACAAGAAAGTATCCGAGAGATCAGGACAAAGTGTCCTGACATGAGATCCAAAGAGAGGTTAAAACACAGAAGAGCAGTGCCTCTTGAACTGAGAACTTGACTAGAGTTCATATCATCTTGTATTAGAGCTACAGTGACAACTTCCTTTGAATGTTATTAATGCTGCAATAAAGGTAGGGCCACATAGCTGCAGGGCTAATGCGCTTGTCCGTTTTCACTAATCCCTGTCACACACACCATGGATTACACTCCCAGCAGAGCCGCATTGCAGAGGATCGACTTCTTTCTGTGTTAATTGGTGTTGCCAGAAGATGACAGCCAAGAAGTCTACACTGCACCCCACGCCTTACTAAAGCACGTACATATAGACTGTCAAATGTCTGACTCCTCAACACACCACCACCCTGCACGTAAATATGCTACTAAAGACAAGGCTTTCATACTTCAGCTCTTGTCTCTCCTTCTGGCTGTTACACAGGAAATTCCCAAACTGGCAAGAGTAGATATGATGTTGTATGTGGATGAGGAATCTCTCATTGAATTCAAAGGCACAAGGAAACTGTTCCATTAATTGCCATACACACTCAATGAACTGGTCAATAACGGGGGATATCTCCTTTGGATCTCCATCTAAGTTGCCATACCTGAAACAAGACAAGATACATTCAATTATAACCTGAAATCCTCTAGGAAAACTGAATTAACACTAATGAAAACAAACCCCTCGCTTTTCGTGTGCAAGTTACATCATAGGTATTCATTTCTAAAATTTCAACTACTAGTGTATTTTTTTACTTACAAAAATGGTGCAAGATTCATGGAGGAGAATGAAAGCAGAATTTATCAAATACAAACAAACTTTTATAGGTGTCTTGTTGCCTTACAACTACTAACAGCTGACTGCCGCAGAGCCATGTTTTAATGCTATTAATATAAATTTATACCACAGTAACATAAGTCATCATAAGAATGACTGCAATTACTTAATGGCAAAAGCATATCTTAGATAGTCGCTCAATGGCAGACCATTCCCCAAACCAGAAAACTGAGCAGAAGAGGAACAGAATAACCTTGGCAGAAAACAGTTTAAAGCTGCCCACTCTTGGTGAAATTTTTAGAAAGTGGGAAGTGTTTACATGCTACTGTAACTGTCAAATGAACATCAAAATTTCTGTCTATAAAAACGTCTCTGGGAACCACTTGCAATGAAGTAAAGGAGCCTGAAAATATAAAACATGGAAGTAAAAAATATTTTATAAGTCTACATAGTCAGAAGAAGCATTTTTCAATGCTGCTTGCCTAGTGTGTGTGTATATATATTTGTGCATATATATATATATACATGCCAACAGAGTGGAATTCCATAAACATCTGAAATTGAAACTTCTAATTCTACTATTATTATGCATCAAAGAAAATATAGCAATATTGTACTGCAGACCAAAGCTATCAGTGATTACATTTCATAGTATCTTTCACCACTGATAATAATAGACATCTGACAGTATCATATGAAATGCAGAAACTCCTGATGGAATTTCACAGGTGGTGTGGAGCTGCACAGATTTTCTGAAAGTTTTGTTGTGTTTTTTGAAACTAGAACACATTGATATTCAAATCAAGCAATATGTCATTAAACTCTAATATAAAAATTGCATTTTTTATTTTTACAGAAACTAAAAGGAAATACAAGAAAGAAAGAAAATGTGGATATTTATCCATGTTTAAATATATAAAAAAGTCTTCAAACATTTTCATTACATTATAGCATTTACATAATAGACGTACAAAATAACTTGTCCAAATAGATGATTTTCCACTTTGCTTTACCTGATGTTTCTGAACAAATCCTACTGGTTTTGTTAGAACAGAGTGTAATAGGAAGGGTATATTTTACATAATAGATAACTTGCAGACATGTACTGTCTGCAAGCACTGTCCTGGAAGATGCAGATTTTGCTGAAAAGGGACTTAAGTGGGGAGTCTGGGCACTACTAAAAGATCTGCTAGAGTCCAAAGGCATTTTGCAAGCCACATACATACTACTTTTCTCTCACAGGGATCTCTCAATGCTCATAGCAACTGCAAGACCAGCAGCACTCAGGAATCCCAATAGCAGTCTTGGAGTGCATATATAAGAAAAGACTGCTATGAAAATATTTCACTTTGATTTTTCCAGGCAGCTGAATTATATAGTAGGAGAAAAGGGTATGGCAGTTTCCTGAGGGCATTCTGTGGATATGCTTTGTAAGGCAACAAGGAAGTACAATTGTTATGGCAGCAGATACTGAGTACTTAAAAATATATACAGAAAAACCTTAGCACTTCCTTACCTGTGATTAAATTTGTGACCAAAGGAAACCCAGTCTTTTTCAATTAAAACCTAAAATAAGAATATTGCATTCAGTGTTGCGGAGCAGAGCTGACACATGTTGAAGCAGGCAGAAGAGTAGTGTAAACAAGCAGTACTAAAATTCCAGTAAATTCAAAGAATAAGTAGAAAAGTGACAAGCAAGAATGATGATGCAAGCAGTATTAGAACCCCAGATACTTTTTAGAATAAGCAGAAAAATAATGAGTGATGAGCACTGCTGCCAGCTCAAGAGAAAGTAGCACTCTTCACGGGTGCAGATAGGATACCGGTATTTCAGCACAACTTCAATTAGCCTGATTTATCATTTTCTAAAATAGAACCTAAAAATGTCCCAAACATCTTTTTAATGTGCACCTAGTAAGTTGATAAGCATTCCTAGATGCTTTACCGGTGTTGATTTGCTTGGGAAAGGAACAGATTTTCCAACCAAGCTGCTCATTGCAATCTAATGTCTAGGGAGCACACACTTCTGACAGTCAAAACTTCACTTATCCCTGAAAATGAATGCAAATTTTTGATTTCACAAAAGCTCCCTGGGCTACAAGAAAGCTTCTTGGTCAAGGTTAGGAAAAAAAAATTAATGGGTGCCCAACTGATCCCCACCTTTGATAACACTTCATACAAAAACTGGGAGACTGTGACTTGGACAGATAAAAACCTTCCTTCCTACTTAAAAAAATAAATAAGAAAAGGTATATTTAAGGAAAGTTTGTTTTCTATTAAAACCAAAGCTATTCATCTTAAATGATGCCATAATACTTTATTCACTCTGTGAAAGAGAACCTGCTTACCATGAATCCCTTCATAGTTCTGTAATACGGATCCAACAGAAGGCTCGCTACAGAGCAAACCTGGGCTGTCCTATCCCAGCCATCAGAGCAGTGAACAAGCACACTCACACCTTCCTCAGCCACAGCCTAAGGATACAGGAAAAAGTCAGAAATTTCACAAGCAGGGAGAAAGGCAAAGGTAAGAGAGGAAGAGTGAGACAGCACAATATAGAGTATTAGTTTGGGAACTGGGAAACCTTGTTCAGGTTTTTTTCTGCCACAGAGTTATGAATTATGTTGAGTGTTATTCCTCTCATTTGAAAAGTCTTAATCTCATCCCATCCCATGCAATATGGCTCTTAATTTCTCATCTTGATGGTAATGTCAATAATGGCAATGTCTGCTTCCAATGCCAGTGCTAGTGTGGATATTATTACAGCACACTGCATTGCACACTGATGACATGCTTCTGAAGATTTCTGGGGAAGCCTCTGGTAGTGGTAAACTTCCATATCTAATAAGCAAGACTGTATTGGTATCTTTAAATAACTGGGGAGAGAGGATCCCTTTTTATACATAAACAAAGAAGAGATCATACTAAGTTCTCCAAAGTATGGTATTGGATTATTTTTGGAACTTGAGGGGGTTTTTAAATTCTAAGGGTTTTGGCCTTTGTCTTTTCTAAAAAGAACTAAATTTAGAAAGTAGAGAAATAAAATAGGTTAGGAAAGATACTGCTTAGAAAAACAAACATTCAAGTTAAGTTTGGGCTTAATAGGGACGAAGGAATAATAATAAATTATCTATGTTTATCTCAAGAAATAAGTAAATTCTACCAACATAGAACTCCCGTGGGCAGGAGACCAACAACTGAGAACTGGGAACTGTACAAACAAGAATGGATCAAAATGCATGTCTGACGAGGCATGAGGCTAGCAAGCATATGGACAAAGGATAAATTTTTTTGGACAATATTTTAAGACTAGCTACTGGGGAAAAGTTGGCAAGAGCTAACGTATATGACTTGATTTCTCTGAGTGAATGAAAGCTAGTAGGACTGGGAGAAATAATACCATATGCATTTATTCCACAGCTGCTGTTCAGGTAAGAAATTACAGTTGCCTGCTGAGCAGGAAGAAGCAAAGCAAGAGAAACAAGCAGTTACTGAGGAGGGAAACCCATGATGTTTTATCCATATAGTTGTATGTAGCAGGTCATGTGAATAAAATGGCCTATGAGAAATTGTAATAGTAATCTCAAAAATAAGAATTGAAACAGTAAAAGGTACAGAGGCAGGGGGTAATAAAATGAAAAATACTGTTGGTAGATTACAAATATCTGCATTACTTTGGGTGAGATTAGGAGAAATAAATTCTTATCAAAGGCAACAATTGTTTTCTGAAACAGTTCTCAAGTACGTAAGAGTAGAAGCTGATAGAGAGTTTGGCCATGGGGTAATACACAGGAGTGGTTTAGGAGGTGAATTCAGTTGGTTGCTAAATAACTCAGAGAGTATAACACAGTAGCTAATATTCCTATATTACAATTACCATGCAAAGAAGTAGTCCTCAAACAGAAACCTTCAACAAAGAAAATGTCCAGAAACCAGTGAAGGAGGCAGGGGAAACAGGGAAAGAAACAGTGGCAATCACTGCTGGGAGTAAAGTAAGGACCTTCAAATACCTGGCGTAACAAGATACAGGCTAGTAGAGGATTTAGTACATTTGAATTCTTTGGTGAAAAGAACACAAACTTTTTTTTACCATATTAGCAAAATGTCCACACGACAGCACCTAAGAATCGTCTCTCTTCATATGTGAATCATTGCAAGATGGATTTTTTTCAGATACAACATCACTGAAGATAACAGAAGTTCCCCACAAGCAGAGAATTTGGTCCTCACTTTCTGTATCTGGTTAGTCCAAATTTTGTTCTCATTTTATGGACTTTACCTTTGCAATAAAAATGCCAGCATCCATAATGGCTTTGATATGCTTCAGCCAGCCAGAATTTTCTAGGCCCCACAGAAAGTCACTCATTGAAGGCGATTTCAGCTCACAAACTGCAAAATAAGCTACATCTTAAATGTACAGTAATTGTAGTCCCTTAAGCTTTCACTGACTGTTCAATCTAAGAGTTATCTCTTCAGATATCCCCTGTGTAAAATGTTCATCTTTTGAAAAGAATGATTACTTCACAGTTAAACTTTACCATTGGAAAAAAAGCATGTATTTAAGAAATAGAGCTGGGTCAAATTTCACCCAATAGGTTGATTTACATTAAAAACAGAAGCTGTTACAAAGCCAGTTGCAAACAGTTTATCAAATACATCCTTCTGTGTAGCACAGATTTTCCAAAATTGTGTTGGGAGCAAAGTTTTCAAACCCCTGGGAGGGGATCGTGTATTTAATAACGAGGGCTTGGAAACAGAAAGTGTATGATTTCTACTGTTGGACAAGCAGACAGCCACCTAACTGGTGCCACAGCCTCCTGTTCCCAGCCACATTTGCTGATGAAGCTCTGTAAGAGCAGGTCTGCCAACCCAGCCTTCAGCATCACCACAGATGATGGTGGTTGTGATATACAGCAATTCACTCAACAGTTCTCTGTCCCTGAGGGAAACCTTATTAAAACTTCACTTATAGTCAGAAAGTATTCTAAAGGTGAGGAAAAAACATAATTCATCAAGGAAAATATTGTCCTGAAAACTTTCCAATCTCTATGCCATGAAAAAACCAAACCACTTCACAGTTTTTACAACATTAAGTTTCTATCCTACTGTATCCAAGTGTCTATTTTTTAATATTACAGAGTTTGTGACATCAGAAGAGAAAAAGGGCAATCAGAATCTAATTCAGCTACTTCAATCCAGCAGCAGACAAATACTCAACAATATTTGGTGCAACCTATTTTGAACAGTGAGATACTAAATTCACCCCATAAATAGACTACGCAATTATTTTGATCTCTGTACAATTATACCATCTTTTAAGGAAAAAGATATAAACCAGTAAAACTCATTTAAGGAATACAGTGAAAAATGTCACGGGTTTTGCTGAGTTAATGTATGATCTGTGAATTAATAATGTGTTAGTAGATCTCTTATCCTCTGGAAATCTTCTAAAAGACTCAGTTAATTATGGCCATTATGACCAGTGGCATAACTTTAGTTTCCTTCAGTGTAATTGGAATTTAATTTTACAAGCCGAAGCCAGAGTTTATACCACATCTGAACATATCTGACTGTCTTAACTCCATTTAATTCAGAGGCAAAATAGCCTAATGTGTCCATACAAAGTCTTGCAATCTTTGTGTGCAGGGCCTCTTCCAGATGGTTATTTTAAAAGTCATTTTGAAGGATATTTATAAAAATGCATAGATAGCAGCACTGAAAGCAAACAGCTTTCACATGATTAATGCTCCCGTGCAGATGGAAGCATGACCAATTAGTAGCAGAAGCTGCTGTCTCTGTTTACAAAAGCCCAAGGTAAGGTTGAAATAGTGCTTTGCTCATTCCCACTACCAAATTAGAGTCAATATTTACTGACCACTTCACTGAGCAAAGTTCACACTGTCCTAATGTCATACACTGTGTATTTCACATGATTTTGGCTACCGATCTGGACCTTAATACTGAGTCCAATTATGAATTCGATTATGAGGTTTATCCTAAGGGAAAAAGTCATTTCCATCTCAGCAGAAAAGGTACCAAAATCTTGGAGAAATAAGACCTGCTGTACCCGCTGTGTGGGCAGAGGAAAATCAAGTGCCCTGGGGCAGAGCTCATAGCAATGCAGTGGTGCTCCCTTCCCCAGAAGGGGAGGAAGAAACAGGACACATGGTGGAAACTGCCTCTTCCATCACCAAAATTACCAGAGGGGGATGCTGGACCAGTTCCCCCATTTCTGGCAGCGCAGCCATAGGTCAAGGAAGGAGTAAAAGCTGCGGGCCAAACCCTCAGGCTCTCTTTCTGGCTGATCTGCCACAGAAGTCCAAGGATCAGAGGGCTGCTCTTAGATCAGCAACTAGTGCTCCTGGTCTGAGGGGAGGAGAAGCTCATATTTGCTGTTTAAATACAGACAGGGAGCATGTGGGGTCATCATCTCAATAAACAACAAAGAGGGGTCAAGTCTTGGTTGGCCCCCCAGTGTACAGCAAAGCTCACCCCATCACATATACCAAACAGCAGCCTCAGCCGGCCCTCAAATCTTTACTGAGAAAAGTCCTTGTGCAACATTTTCTTCTAATATTAAAAATAATTTCAAGGAGGTTGTGTGCAAAATTTTCACAAGGATCTTCACATACACCTCTCTCTAAATATAAAAATAATGAATACTATACTAAAGCAATATGAGGTGGCAGAGACAAAAGTATAACTTTTTTTTTTTTTCCTGGAAGGAAATTCCATTATGTTGAAATGCATTCTACTTCCAGAGTACAGTCAAATCTCAACATTTTTTGCATATTCTGAAAAAAAATTTCTCATTATCCTACTAATTTAATCATTTTATGTTGATATATTTTGCCAAAAAATAACATTATACAAGAGCAAATACATATTAAATTTAAGATAAGTAAAATTTCTAGAATTAAAGTCAGTAAAAATCACAAAGCTGAAACCAAATATTTTTTACCTACTCAAATAAATTATTGACATTATTAGGAGTATCAATTAATTTCTTCAGCTTTTTTCTGAAGAAATGTCATTGAAATGAACACACTCCTAATATAAGTGCATTTTCCAATGGAAAACCGAATAATCAATTTTTGTTCAAATTTCCTCAGTATTGGAAGTTATTTAAAATGGTGTCCTGGTTTCAGTAGGGATGGAGTTAATTTTCTTCTTAGCAGCTGGTATAGTGCTGTGTTTTAGATTTCGGATGAGAATAATGCTGATAACATACTGATGTTTTAGTTGTTGCCAAGCAGTCAAGGATTTTTCAGCATCTCATACTGCCCTGCCAATGAGAAGTCAGGGGTTCCCAAGAAGCTGGGAAGGGACACAGCTAGGACAGCTGACCCAAACTGGCCAAAGGGCCATTCCATACCGTATGACGTCATGCTCAGTATATAACTGGGGTATGGCCGGGAGGCGGCACGGCTCAGGAACTAGCTGAGCATCGGCTTTGGGTGGTGAGAAACTGTGCTGTGTGTCACTTGTTTTACATATTCTTTTATCGTCATCATTATTATTATTCTGTTCCTTTTCTGTCCTATTAAACTGTCTTTATCACATCCCAAGAGTTTTACCTTTTTTCTTGTCAATTCTCTCCCCCATCCCACTGAGTGGAGAGTGAGTGAGTGAGTGAGTGAGCGAGCGAGTGAGCGAATGGCTGTGTGGCTGTTTTAGCTGCCTGCCATGTTAAACCACAATAAATTGTATATTGAAAATAATCTGCAGTCTCTCATGCGAAAAAATCTTCCAACCTTCACTTCAACTTAATTCCAGTAAGTTGAATAAAATTACCTTTGCTGCACTCCTGCAATATATCAGACCTATTATGTCTTGATGTCCTCTTTTCCGTGCTGTACACTTCCAAGAAACAATACCGCACATTAAACTAAAATCAGTTTCCATCAGCCTCATTTATCACTTCAGAGATTTTTGTCTCACAACAGGTCACGAGCATCAGACATATTTTGTAATGCTTGTAGTGTAATATGATGTTTTACCTTAGAGATTGACCTAGGTATGTTTACATATTCCTTGATAAAAAATAAAAGCCATATTAAATGTATATTATCATCTTCCTTGGTGGCCTTCTTGATTCTGGTTTCCTTTGTATGCATAGGTCAGGTAATAAATACCCTTTTAAAGGACACAAGGGAAGCAGATGAAGGGACACTACTATGAATGGAAAAAGATAAAAACTATGCAGCCTTTTACATGAGAAAAGCCCTGCTCATACACTGAAAGTCATAAGATATTTTTTTTTAAAAAGCCTCAAGTACTGGAAATTATGGAATTCACTTCTCTAATTTCTAATCTTATCAGCCATGTCACTAAATATGAGATTTCAAAATAGCAAATACAAAACCTATGAAAAAAGCAGGTGTTTTGAGCATATGGCTCATTTAAGAATAGATGCTAAGAAGTTACGCCCCTCCCAAGCAGCCTGAAGCGCTAAATGCATTAGAAATTACCTTGTTACATGTCGGTTTGGGCCATGGGCCTGTCTTATGAACTTTTGGCTCAAAAATAATACACAGCACTGTCCCATGCAGCCAGGCTGGTTGTTTACTATTTTAACTTTGATGGTCTTAAGCTGAACAAATAAAGGGACAGGTTTATTCACCTGGCCTCTCTCCTAGCCAAACAAGACTCTGTAGTGAACTAAAAATCCTTCCATTTTCCTTCCTGAGACCCTTAAACCAAGGAATTAAGTAAAACTATGTCATGAAGAGAGTAACTGTTTTATCTGCATCACACTTTACTGCTGCTTTTCATAAACTGCTCTTATTTGAAAACAGAGCACAAGTCTCCTGTCCTGGAAAATGCAAGCCCTTCTTAGATCTAAAATCCACATTTGCATACAGATGATGAGAGACAGATGAAGAATAAAAGAGCACGGGCAGAGCGTCAAGTCAAGAATATCTGGATCAAACTGATCTAGGAGGTGACAAGGTGTTGATGATATACATTAAGTAAATACTGAGACTCTATGGAGTGGAGCGAGCACTATTTACTATTTGCTTGTTAAAAATCAACAAGCCATTAAGGGTCAAGGATGGCTTATTTATTCTTACCCTTTTCCCAGAAGGCCTCTAAACAGTAATTTAATCCAAATATTAAATGGCAGTACAGATGTGCTCGTTTATACACTGATAAATATTTATAAAGTAATTATTATTAATTTTCATGGGATTATGAAGGTGCTGAATGGTTACACCCATTGACTGTGAGTTTCATAAATAAACCTGATGTGACATGCTCTATACGGGCCATGAGTAAGTTTCAATTGAAATTCAGTCTAAAAATGCATGACTACCTTATTGACCACATACAAAAATCAAACAGTAGGTTTTCTGAGCTTAAAAAAAAAAATGCTTTATTTGCCACTAGCATCAAAGTCAGCTATGAGTGATTTTTTCATTATACCATTAAACTGTAAACCTCAAAAGAAGATGTAGGAGAAGTAAGGTGTACTGAAGTCAAATGAATTTTGTCATTAAAGTAAATGATATCTGGATTTCACCCACGAAACAAGGTGTTTGCACAATTAGGAAATCATCACTAGTTGTGGTGATATTCCATTGCACAAGTCCCATTGGCCAGCAGGCAGCTGCATGCAGCTGCAACAGGCAAAGCTCTCTTCTCATACCCGTTTTCACTGCTGCTAATTTCAGCGCAGTTATCCTGATTTGTGTGACAGAAAGATCAAATCTTTCCTCTAGTTTTCAATAAAGAAGAGTATTACCTTCAAGCATTTTCTGCAGACTATTTCTCATTACATGGATGTTCTCAATGCCTATGAATTGGAACTTGATATTGGAGTAGTTGTCTTCATTTTCATACCCCTTCCCAGCTGCTCTGTTTGCCATTGCGTTGAGCTGAAAAAATTAGGGGAAAATCGGATGAAAATTGGTAGCAAATAGATTATTTTCAAAACAAAGCTCGTGGTCTACTGCAATAAATCAGAGTGATTTAAGTCAGGCACAACTAGGAAGCATTTATCACAGTGTCAACACAACGGGTTAGGAATTGGGGATCTGTTTACAGCCTATTGCAGGGCGCTGGGTTGCTGAGGCTCTGACCTCTTTCACACACTTTGAGTGAAACTTCATTAGTGAGGTTAGATACAAAAAACCTACAGCTTATGTAGGGCTCCTCTGCAAGAATCTAAAGGTTTTAATTTGGTTTTAAAAGGCTATTCTGATTTTATTTCTGATCTGCATTATTTTTTACTAGCAGAATATACCCAGGAGGTGGCAGTGTCTTATCTGCCATGCTACTGTTTCATAGCATATGTACACTGTAATGTTGCCCAAATTACTGTGTTTTACTGCTCAAAGCATCCAAAAGTTGGTACAGCTTACTTCTTTGAAGCTTGGAATAATGAAGAGAGAGTTGGAGTAGTTTTTCATAAGTTTATAGTATCTTGGCTGTAGTTGTGTAGAGACCACAAAAGATTCCAGTTGACAAAATTACCACAAATATTTTCATGTGCAATGCAGCTCTATCAAATATTTTGCTGTGCTTCAGGGAAAAACACATTCATCTGGAAGCTGGAGTTTTATCTTTGAATCTGTTACTTGCTTCCTCGCATGGGAAAGTCACTAAATGCTTCTTTAGTTCAGTTTTCCCAAGCGTAAATTAAGGGGGTTTTTAACACTTATTCCCCCCATGCCCCCCTTGAGACTGAAAAGAAAACTATCTGCCAAGCCCCTTGTGCCAAATTTTGATCTCTGGGCTGAAAACTAGAGCTGATGATAGAAATTAATTAAGTCCTTTTACTTTATTACCCTATTATTTT